CCATGATAATACTATTGCTTATTCCATAATACCATTATGGCTTATTCCGTACTGTTGCTTATTCCATGATAATACTATTGCCTAGTCCATGATCATAACATTATGGCTTATTCCATGATAACGCTATTGCTTATTTCATGATGGACCAATTGCTTGTTCCATCCTAATATTCCTCCATAATTCCATCCTAATATCCCAGAGTTCTGCTTGAAGCTGAAGTCCCACCTGACTGAAAGGACCTGGGCTTCCCTAGCTTTGCACCAAGGTGTAAGTAAGTGGGGGGTGAACCATGTTCCCTCGGAGTGTTCCTCTATGTTGGGTTAGTCACTAACCAGGTTAACCCGACTACTGCCCCTTTGCCTTAAGGCAAAATCCTAAAATCCTGTTTAATGTCATCCCAGTTCTTTCTGGAAAAGGGACTATAGGATTGCAATCCACTTGACCTGTCCTCAGGGTGACCAGTTGTGTCCTCACTGCAAAGGAGGGCGAGCCCCCCCCAAAATGGAGGACCTTCCAGGAAAAAAATGTAGGACATGGCCATAGCTCAGGACACTCATAGATAGGTAGAAATGTATGCTTCTTATAGCATGCTCCAAATGGAGGGACATCTTGACATTCCTCCAGGGAGAGAAGGTTGGCATGGAGGACATGTCCTGGAAAAGGAGGACGCCCGGTCACCCTGCCCGTCCAGTTCTCAGTTGAATGAGAGCAAGGAACGAATTCTCCTGATCGTTACTGATTTCGTTACTGGCTCTCCGTGGCACTTCATTTCATGCAGAAGTATATTTTCATTGCATTTTGAGCCAGTCGTGGTTGGAGTGTTGTCGTCCAGCACTCTTGCCTATTCCATGATCATCCTAGTGATCATCCTACTGGAGACCAGGGTTCGAATCCTGGCTGGGCCATGAAAACCCACTTAGGCAAGTCACACACTCCATTGTATGTTGCCAGTTGTCTTGCTCTTTTAAATTGTAAGCTGCTTGGAGTACCAGTTTGTTTTTTGAGGGAAGCAGGAAATAAATAAATAAATAAATAAATAAATAATTTCCTGCATGGCAGGGAGTTGGACTGGATGGCCCTTGTGGTCCCTTCCAATTCTATGATTCTATAATAATAATAATGATAATGATAATGATAATAATAATAATTTCCTGCATGACAGAGGGTTGGACTGGATAGCCCTTGTGGTCTCTTCTAATTCTATGATTCTATTATTATTATTATTATTATTATTATTTCCTGCATGGCAGGGAGTTTGACTGGATGGCCCTTCTGGTCTCTTCCAATTCTATGATTCTATAATAATAATAATAATAATAATAGTTTCTTGCATGGCAGGGAGTTGGACTGGATGGCCCTTGTGGTCTCTTCCAATTCTATGATTCTATAATAATAATAATAATAATAATAATAATAATAATAATAATAGTTTCTTGTATGACAGGGGGTTGGACTGGATGGCCCTTCTGGTCTCTTCCAATTCTATGATTCTATAATAATAATAATAATAATAATAATAATAGTTTCTTGCATGGCAGGGGGTTGGACTGGATGGCCCTTGTGGTCTCTTCCAATTCTATGATTCTATAATAATAATAATAATAATAATAATAATAATAATGCAACCTGATGCTGTGTCACAAATAGCCCACGTCCTCTGAAGAAGGGGGACCTTCAACATAACTAAAGGCACGCACAACGAATGCAACCCGGTGTCTCTAGTTTTGCAAGAATCTCCTCCCTTATTTTTTCTTTAAAACATATTTGAAAGCTCTAGTTTGCCTCTACGAGGAATCAGGGCACAGCCAAGCCCACTGTTACTTTTCCAAAAAGGATGAACCCCCTGCTATTTCGACAACCCACCATAAGAACAAATGGGATCTGTGTCCATGCTCCCAAGCTGTGCCTTTCTCCAGCTTTCCATCCAAAATAGGACTGCCCTGTTATTGCTATAATGGCTCTGAGTACTACAGAGTAAAAGACGAGGAAGACACAGTACTGCCAAGAGCATTTTCCCCCCCATATCGCTATGAATAATTGTTTGTGTCAAAGCCTATTTCCGATCAGGCTTGGGGTGTGAAGAGATTGGATAAATGAGAGTTTATTTGTTGCATTGACTAAAACCATCATCATGATCCTCTTTGCATTTCCCCCCAAGATCTGCAGAGCACTTCTGCCCCTGAAGGCTGTTTTAGCACTGACCTACTCAGCAGTTTGGCACTCCTTTCCTTCCCCTGGCTCCATCCTCCAGAACCCTGGGATTTGTAGTTTGGCGAGGCACCACCACTCTTTGGCAAAAAAAGGCTCCAGGCTTTGCCAAACTACAGATCCCAGGACTCCATCGGATGGAGCGACAGCACCGAAAGTGGTGTCGAGCTGCATTATTTCTACAGTGCAGATGCACCCTACAGCAGGGGTAGGCAACCTTTCCCCTTTAAGGGCCGAGGGA